GCTTAGAAAAAAATCATGAATAGCTGTTGAATTTTATCAAATGCTTTTCTTGTATCCAATGAGATTATCATTTTCCCTCTTTATTCTGATGTCATAAGTTACATTGATTTTAAATGTTAAACCAGCCTTGCATTCCTGGGATAAATTCTACTTGATTATGATGTATTATCCTCTTTATAGACTGCAATTTTCAATTTGGTACCTTTTCATTAAAGATTTTTAAACCTATGCTCTCAAGGGTTATTAGTCTATAACTCCCTTTCTTTAAATATCCTTGTCAGATTTGTATATAAAGGTTAGTCTTGCTCTGTTCGTGCCTGGCCCACTGGGTACAGGAAAGGAAGAAGGGCTCTAATGATGCCTAAAATTAAATTTTCCAATAGCCAGGTAGCGGGGAGCCTAGAATAGGTAAAATAAGATTTACGTAAGTAAATATCTAATGTGTTTATACCATAGTGTTATAAAATAGAATTCATACTAGCAACACTGAAACAAGACAAAGATCACTGAATCATTTGAGCACCATAATTCACAATTTGTCCCCACTCCTCTAGCAATATGTTTTTTGTTTTTGAGATGGAGTTTCACTCTTGTTGCCCAGGCTGGAGTGCAATATCACAATCTTGGCTCACTGCAACCTTCGCCTCCTGGGTTCAAGCAATTCTCCTGCCTCAGCCTTCCAAGTAGCTGGGATTACAGGAATGCACCACCACGCCTGGCTAATTTGGTATTTTTAGTAGAGATGGGGTTTCTCCATGTTGGTCAGGCTGGTCTCAAACTCCCAACCTCAGGTGATCCGTCCACCTCAGCCTCCCGAAGTGGGCCAGGCTTGGCCCTCTAGCAATATCTTGACATGCCTGTTGACTTTTTTTTTTTTTGAGATGGAGTCTTGCTCTGTCACCCAGGCTGGAGTGCAGTGGTTTGATCTGGGCTCACTGCAACCTCTGCCTCCTGGGTTCAAGTGACTCTCCTGCCTTAGCCTTCTGAGGAGCTGGGATTACAAGCAAGAGCCATCATGCCTAGCTAATTTTTGTATTTTTAGTAGAGATGGGTTTTACCATGTTGGCCAGGCTGGTTTCAAACTCCTGACCTCAAGTGATTTGTCCACCTCGGCCTCCCAAAGTGCTGAGATTACAGGTGTGAGCCACCACACCCGGCCAACTTTTAGCCCTTTCTATACCCATGTCTGTTCACTTCTATTTTCAAACTTTTTTCAGCTCTTATCCTTATAATATATACTCTAGTAGACTGAACTGCTATTCAATAATCTTCACTCTCTTATATGAATTATACATCCTTACAAGATGTGTAATTGTATAATAATGTATGTTATTATGTATATCATTAACAGTATACAAATATAGAATTACATATCCATACCCTTTACTGTATAATTGTGCAGTGCCTCCCACTATGGGCAGAGTATGCTTCCCTGTCACATTTTGGTAGGACTTGGAATGCAGTGGAGATGGCAGAAGCACAGGTTTTCAGCCACTGTTTTCTGGTTTGGCCTGTCCTCTGGTGCTCCTGTAATCTGCCAATAGAAGAGCATGCCCTGAAATCTCCTGGCTCTTTAGTCTAGGCCCCAAAATGGACAAGAAAAAACAGACTTGAGGCCAGGCGCACTGGCTCATGCCTGTAATCCCAACACTTTGAGAGGCTGAGGCAGGTGGATCACCTGAGGTTAGGAGTTCGAGACCAGTCTGGCCAACATGGTGAAACCCCATCTCTACTAAAAATACAAAAATTAGCCAGACATGATGGCGAGCACCTGTGATCCCAGCTATTTGGGAGGCTGAAGCAGGAGAATCAGTTGAACCTGGGAGGCGGAGGTTGCGGTGAGCTGAGATGGTGACATTGCACTCCAGCCTGGGCAACAAGAGCAAAACTCTGTCTCAAAAAGAAAATAAAAGAAAAGAAAAAACAGACTTGAACGTAAATGGAAGACTACAGGATTCAACCTGGTCTAGCTTAGATCAGCTAAATTGCTATCACCCCACTCTTCTATTAAACCTACACTTAACTTAACTCTTATCTGAGCTATTATCTTTTGGATCCATCCCTGTTTCCTGTATGTCCTACAGGGCAGGAATTCTTTTTCTCTATTTATTCACTGATGTCAATCAAGCACCTAGAGCTGCCTGATACAAAGCAAGCCCTCCATAAATATTTGCAGGATGAATGATTTAACATACTGAACTACTTTAACTTATACATCAAAACATGCATTCACATTCCCAGTGATCACACTATTCTTTCCCATAGAGGTACATGAGATCTCACAGGACTTATTTCCAGGTTAGGAAGGTTGGATTTTGATTTTTGGGCAATTAGCAGCACCTGAAGATTATTTTTTTTTAGGAAGGTATAATGGTTACAATTAGGATTGGCTGGCTAGGCATGGTGGCTCATGCCTGCAACCCCAGGACATTGGAAGGCTAAGGCAGGCAGACGACTTGAGCTCAGAAGTTTAAGACCAGTCTGGGCAACACAGTAAAACTCATCTCTGTTGAAAATACAAAAATTAGTAACTGTAGTCCCAGCTACTCGGGAAGCTGAGGTGGGAGGATGGCTTCCGCCCAGGAGGCAGAGGCTGCAGTGAGCTGAGATTGCGCCACTGCACTCCAGCCTGAGCAACAGAGCTAGACCCTGTCTTGAAAAAAAAAAAAAAAATAGGATTGGTTGTAAATGACTAAATATCCCAAATAAAAGAAAAAAAAAAGAGAGGAAAAGAAAGTGTGTGTATATAAATATATCCTTTTCCAGATGAAGGCAAAGATATTCTAAGGAACATCATTATTCTGGTTGTTTCTATTTCTATCGTTTTTTTAAAAATGGGTTTATTGAGACATAATTAACATACCATACAATTCACCCACTTATACAATGAGTTTTTAGCATATTCAGAGTTGTGTGACCATTATCACTATCAATTTTAGAATTTCAACACCTATTTTTTTTTTTTGAGATGAAGTCTCATTCTGTTGCCCGAGCCGGAGTGCAGTGGCACAATCTCAGCTCACCGCAACCTCTACCTCCCAGGTTTAAGCAATTCTCCTGTCTCAGCCTCCTGAGTAGCTGGGACTACAGGCATGCACCACCAAGCCCAGGTAATTTTTATTGTTAGTAGAGATGGGGTTTCAGTATGTTGGCCAGGCTGGTATCAAACCCTTAACCTTGTGATCTGCCACCTTGGCCTCCCAAAGTGCTGGGATTACAGGCGTGAGCCACCGCACCCAGCCTGAGAAATTTTATACTCACTAGCAGCCACTTCCGATTTACCCCCAACATTCCCTCTCCTCTCCAGCCTTAGGCAAACCCTAATTTACTTTCTCTATATATAGATTTGCCTATTTTGGACATTTCACATAAATGGAATCACACAATATGTGGTCTTTTGTGATTGGCTTCTTAACACAATATTTTCAAGGTCTTCACATCATTTTAAAATAGAAATATAATCAGCTTAAAGTGTATTTAATAGTTAAGCTGGGAGCAGTGGCACATGCCTGTAATCTCACCACTTTGGGAGGCCAAGAGGAGTACATAGCTTGAGCTTAGGAGTTCAAGACCAGCCTGGGCAACATAATGAGACCCCATCTCTACACAAAAAAATGCAAAAATTGGGCAGGCATGATGGCATGTGCCTATTGTCCCACCTACTTGGGAGGCTAAAGTGGGAGGATTGCTTGAGTACAGTACAGAATGTTGAGGCCATAGTGAGCTGAGACTGCCCCACTGCACTCCAGCCTAGGTGACAAGCAAGATACTGTCTCCAAAAAAAGTAACAGTTAAGAGCACAGACTATAGAGCCAGACTGCCTAAATCTACATGCCAGCTCCATCCCTTATTAAAGCAATTACTAAACTTTTTATTAGAACAATTTCTTAATTACTTACTTGCTTCTTTGGAGCAAGTTACTTAACTTCTCTGTGTCTTAATTTTCTTATCTGTAAAATGGGTTTAATAACAGAACCCAGTTGAGTAAGGTAGCTCACACCTGTAATCCCAGCACTCTGGAAGTCTGAAGCAGGTGGATTGCTTGAATCTAGGAGTTCAAGACCAGCCTGGGCAACATGGTGAAACCTGGTCTCTACAAAAAATACAAAAATTAGCTGGACATGGTAGCATGCAATTGTAGCCCCAGCTAGTCAGGAGGCTGAGGTGGGAGGATGACTTGAGCCCAATACATCAAGGCTGCAGTGAGCTGTGATTACACCATCTACTCTGGGTGACAGAGCAAGACCCTGAGTCAACGTAAAAATAAAATAAAACCTGCTCATAGGGTTGTAATGAAATTAATATATGTAAAGCACTAAAAACAGTACCTCACAAATAGCAAGCATTATACAAGTGTTAGCTATCATTATTATCTGTATTAAAGAGAGGGGAACTGTAGATAGACACTCAAAACCTTTTTCATAGCATTGGGATGTATTTTGGTATTTAATATGTTTAAAAATGAATGTCTCAGGAATGGAAAATGAGGACTGACTGCTACTGGGTATGAGGTTTCTTTTGGGGGCAATGAAAATGTTCTGGAATTAGTGGTGAATGGGTGTACAACTTTGTGGATATACTGAAAACCACTGAATTGTATATTTTGAAAAGGTATGGCATGTGAGTTATATCTCAGCTCTTAAAAGTAAGTGTTTCTCTTCTTTCAAAAATCTCTTCACTTCACACAAAATAGAGAAGGCAGGCCAGTCGTGTTGTCTCAGGCCTGTAATCCCAGCATTTTGGGTGGCCAAGGGGGTTGGATCATTTGAGGCCAGGAGTTCAAGACCAGCCTGGGCAACAGTGAGACTGTTGCTACAAAAATTTATTAAAAATTACCTGGGAGTGGTGGTGCATGCCTGTAGTCCAAACTACTTGGGAAGCTGAGGTGGGAGGATCACTTGAGCCTGGGAGATTTGAGGCTGCAGTGAGCTGTGATCGTGCCACTGCATTCCAGCCTGGGCAACAGAGCAAGACCTTGTCTTTAAAAAAGTAGTGAAGGGCCTCTCTCAGCTCTGTGTAGTTGCACTTGGCTTCACCCGTGTAACTTTCGTAAAGGGGAAGGAAAGAAAAGATTCAGGACCTCAGATGGGCCTTACTGTGGCCTCTCCTTGAGGGGAGCAATAAGCCCTCAAAAAAAAAAAAAAAATAGTGAAGGTAGCTGGGCGCCTGTAATCCCAGCACTCTGGGAGGTCGAGGCAGGTGGATCACCTGAGGTCGGGAGTTTGAGACCAGCCTGACCAACATGGAGAAACCCTGTCTCTACTAAAATGTAAAAAAATAGGCAGGTGTGGTGGTACATGCCTGTAATCCTAGCTACTTGGGAGGCTGAGGCAGGAGAATCACTTGAACCCGGGAGGCAGAGGTAGCAGTGAAGGTAGAAAAAAAAAAAGAAGGCATACATGAATACTCTGCCTTGAAAAAAGCTAGAAATTAGGCTGGGCGCGGTGGCTCACGCCTATAATCCCAGCACTTTGGGAGGCCGAGGCTGATGGATCACAAGGTCAAGAGATCGAGACCATCCTGGTCAACAAGGTGAAACACCGTCTCTACTAAAAATACAAAAATTAGCTGGGCATAGTGGCGTGCGCCTGTAGTCCCAGCTACTCGGGAGGCTGAGGCAGGAGAACTGCTTGAATCCAGGAAGTGGAGGTTGCGGTGAGCCGAGATCGCATCATTGCACTCCAGTATGGGTAACAAGAGCGAAACTCCGTCTCAAAAAAAAAAAAAAAAAAAAAAAAAGGCTAGAAATTTAGTCCGGTGGCTCACGCCTGTAATTCCAGCACTTTGGGAGGTAGAAGCGGGTGGATCACAGGGTCAGGAGTTTGAGATCAGCCTGGCCAACATGGTGAAACCCTGTCTCTACTAAAGATATAAAAAAATTAGCCAGGCGTGGTGACAGGCGCCTGTAATCCCAGCTACTCAGGGGGCTGAGGCAGGAGAATCACCTGAACCCGGGAGATGAAGGTTGCAGTGAGTCTAGATAGCGCCACTGCACTCCAACCTGGGCAACAGAGCAAGACTCTGCCTCAAAAAAAAAGAAAAGAAATTTAAATAGCTTCCCTATTCAGCCACCCACACCCACCTCCCCTCCCCTACAAAGTTTTTCCTACACTTCATGTTTTAATAGGTATTTTGAATTTGGGTGTTATGCCTGTTATAGGATGGGCATGGAGGGTAGGTAACAAACACAGTGTTTGATTAAGTGAACTTTCACTGGGTGGGTGACGCTACATAAAAGAGCAAATTTGAAAAGAAAAGTCATATTTGCTACTAAATTGTATTCATAACTACATAACAGTTAAGAGCCCAGACTCTGGTGAGAGAGAATTTAGTTTCATTTTCTGACTGCCATTTGTCAAGCTATGTGACCTTGGGCAAGTTACTTAAACCCCTCTGAACCCTAGTTTCCTTGTACGTAATGGAAGATAATAACAGTAATTTACTTCGGAGGGTGTATAAGGATTAAATGTGATAATGTAGGTAAAAACATTTAATACATTTCCTGGCAAATGATAGGTACGATACTCAGTAAATGTCAGCAGTGAGAACAGTAATGATGACAATGGTCATCACCATCATCACCCAGGCTGAGGGGAACATAAATACATAAATAATAGGGATGATGCAGCAGGCTTTGGGCGGGGTCAGCTTCTCAAAACAGCTGCGGTCTTCTTGAGAGGAAGGGGTAGTAATGTGACTCTGTGGTTACTGGTCACGAGGACCATGCCCCTCTACTCTAAGCTCTAAATGAGCTGTGTCTTCACAGCAGACCCACAAGGATTTGGCAGCAGTTTATAAACGAGATCCCTGCATATGGGTCCAAGAAAGCCTTTGCCAAGTGCCTTCGAGGGACAGAAGAGGGATATGAAATTAATTTACTGACTCTTCTAAAACATATCCTGTACTTCTAGGAAAAACACTGGCATTACTGTTAAATCCTTTAAACACATCAAGCTATGACTCTCATCATCTTTTCTTCGGGGCTCTTGCAATAGCTTCCTAAATGGCTACCTACCAGTCTTAACTGCCTTTGTCCTATTTATCACATTCAACTAGGATTATCTTCTTTACAAAAATTTTTTTTTGGCCAAGTGTGGTGACTCACACCTGTAATCTCAGCACTTTGGGAGGCTGAGGCGTGTAGATCACGACGTCAGGAGATCGAGACCATCCTGGCCAATATGGTGAAACCTCATCTCTACTAAAAATACAAATATTAGCTGGGCATGGTGGCCCATGCCTGTAGTCCCAGTTACTCAGGAGGCTGAGGCAGGATAATCGCCTGAATCCAGGAGGCAGAGGTTGCAGTGAGGTTGAGACCACACCACTGCACTCCAGCCTGGCAACAGAGCAAGACTCCATCTCAAAAAATAAAAATAAAAATTTTTTTTTAAGAGACAGGGTCTTGCTGTGTTGCCTAGGCTGGACTCAAACTCCTACTCAAGTGATCCTCTCGCCTTAGACTCCCAGTATCTGGGCATGCACCATTGTGCCTAGCCTGAAATCAAACTTTTTTTGGAGACAGTCTCACTCTGTTGCCCAGGCTGCAGTACAGTGGTGCAATCACAGCTTACTGCAGCCTCGACCTCTCAGGCTCAAGCAATCCTCCCATCTCAGCCTCCCAAGTAGCTGGGACGATAGACGTGTACCACCCCACTCAGCTAATTTTTCTATTTTTTTTTGTAGAGATGGGTTTCCCCATGTTGCCCAGGCTGGTCTCTTCCTGGGCTCAAACTATCCTCCCACCTTAGCCTCCTGAAGTGCTGAGATTACAGGCATGAGTCACGGCACCTGGCCAAAACCGAAATCTTAAACATCTTCACTGCTCGAAGTTCCTCAAAAGCTCTCCCATCCATCGCTTGTAGAAAGTGTCTAAAGATTGTTTGCAGATCATACAAGGCTTGTCGTGAGCTAGTCCCTGCACACAAGTTTTTACCTTATTTCTTGACACTCTCTACCTACCATATACAGCTCTAGCCTCACAAAATACTGGCAGGGGAATCTAGGAGAAAGATATCAATTTTTTTTTAAGTCATAACCAAACAGGCTTGCTGGGGGCATTTCATGGGGTGAGATTTGAAGTCCTGGTGGGCCAGAGCAGTTGCAGATATGTGACCTGGAGTATCTGTGTCTTATGATGTACAGAAATAAAAGTGAGCACACAGAGAAACAGACTATTCTGTAAGAATGTGAAAATTCAAATCTGGAAAGCAACGATATAAACACTATCTGACTACCTTTGTCTTTTGGGGCCAGTGGCTGTTGCCACAATAATAAGCACATCTATCTTCCAGAAGGGACAGTGGAGTCACCTAGGTGCTGCCTAGGTGGCAGGCACAGTGGGCATCAATCTACAATGGGCAGTTCTCTGCAAGGCCATGTGGACACATTATTACAGTACAATTACATTTACAGACTGCTTTTCAAATACATTCTCTCCTGCATGTATTACTGCTACTTGTGAACATGAAGTGCTATTTTTACTGTTAACTGATCACTGCAGGAAAATCAATCAGTAAATAAGCAAATCACCTCTGATTAACACTTACTGTGAATTATATTTTAATTTTTAAACATTTGGAGGCACAAGAAGAGAATATTGGCCAAGCCTGAATCCCACCTTTGGGTTACAAGAATAAAGGTTAAATATACTGGTAAAGTTCAACCCAAAGCCTGGGCGCGGTGGCTCACACCTTTAACCCCAGAACTTCGGAAGGCTGAGGCAGGTGGTCAGAAGCTGAGGTCAGAAGCTTGAGACCAGCCTGGCCAACATGGTGAAACCCTGTCTCTACTAAAAATAAAAAATTGGCCAGGTGTGGTGCCATGCACCTGTAGTCCCAGCTACTCAGGAGGCTGAGGCAGGAGGATCACTTGAAGCCAGGAGGCAGAGGTTGCAGTGAGCTGAGATCGCACTACTGCACTTTAGCCTGGGTGACAAAGCGAGATTCCATTAAAAAAAAAATTCAGCCCAAAAGATTTTCATAACTTATTGTTATCAATGTCTTTAATCAAAGCAAAACCCTTACTTAAAATAACCAACCAGTAAAACACTAACAAAAGTATTAGTAGGGTTATAGTTAATAAATTTATTCAATGTCTTTCTACGTTAGATTTTTAGTCTTATTAACCATTTGACTTTAAATAAAAATACTGACATTGAGATACTTTATTCTTATTCCCTTCAAGTCACTAAATAAATCCAAACACAGCTGCAAACGTCAACAATTTTCATTCTTTTCACTTTAATACTGGCTCACTACTCTGCAGAACTATCACAGCTGACTAGCAGCAGGTCAAGGCAGCAAAACTAAAAAGAAAAATACAACAAAACTAGATTTCATGTCTATAGCAGCCCAGATATTTACTGTAATCACTGAACAACATCTGGACACTAGTAGCAAAAAGAACAAGTAATTAAAACTACGGGTTTGAAAAACATGAGTGTCACGTTCCACACCCCATATAGCTGCTAAAGAATATGGGACTCTTAGCAGGCACTAACAAAGCCTGGTTTTAATGTAAACTCATCCTCCTCTTCCCTGACCCTCTAGGGATTCTCAGACGTTTCCTGATAAGCAGATCTAAACTGCAAGACAATAATATCCCAAGGAGATTCTGGCACTGAGCCCCAGAAATCCTTAAAGCAACAAGCACTGTCTAAAAGAAGAAAACCAGGCTACTTATTCTTTTCACGATTTTCTCCCCTAACTCTAGGGAACATGAAAATGCCTTTCTATGTAGCAGTTGTAAAATTCCTTCTGAGGCAGAATGTTTTAGACTAGAGATGGTCTGCTGTTGATAATGTCATTCCCTGACACCTGGAACATTTTGAAAGACTCCTCAGAAATGACCTTTAGGCCAGACCAAACTACGTGGGCCAGTGGAATCCCTTCTATTTGTGGAGGCCTGAATAACTTGGAACCTCCTGCAGTGACCAACAGATTAAAGGGTAAGTTACTACAGAGACAACAGCAAAGTTATATCAGACACCCTTAAAAAATGCAGAATGTGGAAAACTCTAGAGAATATATCACCAGTTTCTTCAACAAATAAATTGCAAGCAAAAAAATTCAAATTTAAAAAAGGAGACGGGTGTGGTGGCTCATGCCTGTAATCCCAGCACTTT